CCATTCTGATGAATATTTACCTGGTATGCTTGATATCTTCTGGAGCCCCAGGCCTCCAGTACTGTCTTTTTCTTTTCTCAAAGACTGTGAAAAGCTTGAGACCTATTATTTAATGAATAGAAGCTGTAGAATTTATAGCAAAGCACATGAATCTCAGTAACCAGTGTGTAAAAAAAAAACGTATCTGAATCTTAATATCTTCCTGGAAAATGACAGTATCCTTATTTCTTGCTAATAACATGAGAAATTCAGATTTTATTTCTTCTTTTATACTTGGAAGACCCATTAAAAACAGTCAATATTAAGAATTTTTTCTTGCTGATGTTTTGTTTGTTTTCTCCCTATGTTGGGAAGGTTTCTGTTGATTCTTACAGAAGCAGGATGGAGAGATTTCTGCTATGATAAAATGGCCACTTGTGCGTTCTCTGAGGATGATGTCTATGTAAAACAGAGATACATATTTAAATATAGTACCTTTGGCTTCTCACAGGTTCAGCCATTGACTCAAATTTGTGGGACCAGAGTAGTACTATTCATAGGAGATTAGTGCCCATTCTCAAAAAGGGCTCCATCCTGTTGTTTGTTTTAAAAAAATGTTTCAGATGGTCATAGTGCCATACTCCTGTAATCCCAGCATCTGGGAGGCTGAGGCAGGAGGATCGCTGTGAGTTCAGGATCAGCCTGGGCTACATAGTGAGTTCCAGGTCAGTCTCAACTATGTAGTGAGACCCTGACCCCCCAAAAATAAATAAATAAAGTTTCTATCAGAGGACAAATTTTAATTAGATACCAGCTAAAGGGGCAATATTGATACACTGGAACAGACATTAATCTGTTTATCCTTGCCTGCCGTCTGGTTCTCAGATATCAGCAAGTAAAACAACAATGGAAATAAAAACAGGTGAAATTCATTACAGAGCCAGGTGCACATAACTATGACACCAGCAGTTAGGGAGGCCGAGGCGTAAGGATCTTGAGTTCAATGCCAGCTTCTTGAATTTAAGAATATGTATCTTCAAAAGAAACCATAAAAATCATTACCATCGACCAAGCATTTATGATGTAAAAGACCTGGAAGGAAGTAAGGTAATCCTCACTTAATGACCTACCTGTTTGGACTTTAGCACAGAGCTTAGACTTATGGCCTCCACTCAGACGTACAACCCAGGAATATGAGGGCCAGTGCAGAATTATGTTGGTTTCTTCTGTAGTGCAGTACTGTAAGTTTTGCTGATTGTACTGTACCATACAGTACTATAGTTTTATGTTCTGTTCTATATTATAGTATTGTCAAGTTGGAACTTCCTTGGACCACTCTTTATTCCCAGTATTGTAATGTACATACGCTATGCAATTCCTCATTTAGTGACCAATTCATTTAGCAACTTAGTCACGGGAGGGGAACCCAGTTGTTAAACATGGAGTGTCTGTACGTGAAATATGCTATTAGAGTTAATCCTCACTCCAACCCTATGAAAAATGTAATATAAGTGATGATCAGTGTAGTGAAACTGAATACTGTATGTTTCACTTTCTTAAGGACAAGAGCACACATATATTATTAACTAGTAAACCTGGAGTTCAAACACATTTTTGAAGACTCAAAAGTAAGTTACTGACCCCTATCTTGTTTAATTATCTGAATGACTGGACAAGTGTCTCCCCCTCTCTAGACCTAAGTGTGCTTCCTCACTTAGAAATTGTTGCAGTCTGTGTCCTGCTGTTCTAAATGATTTCCTACTCCTACAATAAAAAGTTACCAAGAGCTAAATGACTTACATAACACCAATGCATGAGCTCAAAGTTCTATAGTCTGGAAGTCCAGCACAGGTTCCACGGGCCCTAGGGAAGGTGAAGGCAGGGCTGATTTCTTCTTAGAGATGCTGTGGAGAATCCACCTTCTCACCTTTTCTAGTTCCTGGAGGCCACCTCATTTTATGAACTATGCCTTGCACCATTCCAGAGGTACATGTTCTATGGGTCTGAAGTCTGGTGGTGCCCAGGCTCACCCTCACCAGGCCTATCTTTCAGATTTAGAAAAAGGAAGAGGAGTCAGAGAAAACCAGCGCAGCGTGAAAGTACTTGATTATTTATCGCTTTATTGTAATAGGAAGCAGTACAAAGCCAGTCTGGAGGAGTGGGTGCTCCCAAAGCTGGATCACCATCAAATTTGGGGCTGCAGTTCTATTATGGGATGGGCATCCTGTCTCTACTCCGCTGACAGTCAACACTTGATTCACAGGATATTAGGCTCATTGCTAGGGGCTTGGTCTTGTGGAATAAGAAGGGAACTGGGGCAGACATGGCCACTGGCACTAGGAGGGACAGTTTTGCAGTTTTGATTGGTGTCAAAACCAGACCCTGTCAGCTTCAAGTCATAGAACTCCTAAAAACTGCTTGCTGCTTGTAGCCATATAGACGCTACATTTTCTAAAAGGCCCTGTAAAAGGAGCCCAGTTCTTTAACCCTACTAAGGGTCCCTTCTGTCACTACACCAGCTTCTTGTTTGTTTTTTGTTTTGTTTTTGGTACTGGGGATCAAACTCAGGACCCAGGCACTTATGAGGCAGGCACAGTGCCACTGAGCTAGATCCCTGGCCCCCCAACTTCTTGTTTTTATCATCACATCTTCTCCATCCTCCTTGCTTGTGAGCAAACATTCGTAGTATAGTGGTGAGCATAGCTACCTTCCTCCTTACTTGTGAGTCCACTGGCCCACTCAGATTATCCAGAATGATCTCCCATGTCATGGTTCTCAACTTAGTCACACCAGCAAAGATCCTTTTGCCATAAAATGTAGCACTCATAGGTCCCATGGGTTAGAATTTGGAGGTAATTAAACCATTATTTAGCTCGCCACGATCTCTGATTCTTTTGTTCTTTTTTAATATTCAGCAGTATTCTAAAATCTTGCCACCATGTAGGATGGTGTGAAGTCCTTAGCTATTCCTCTGGTCTGTCTATAACATTGAATTGCTCACTCTCTGTATGGTCACTTTCAGTATGAGGTGGCATCTGCACCTGTTCCTTACGACTCATTGCATTGTCCTGTCTTCTGGACACTTATTTTCTTACGTTAATTTCATTCTTCTATTGAGTGATCATTGATGTCAGAACATTGTCAAGATCATATGTTTTCTTTAAGTTTTGGCTTTTTAAAAATACTATTTGAAGCATGGCTTCTCCTGTCTAGTTAACATGTGGTCCTAACTTTCATGCACGTGAATGGTGCCTCTGTGTCCATCTTGTTGTCCTGCCCCGTCTGGTCACTCTTGATCTATGTAGTTTAAGGTAGTTGCCATCCAGTTGCTGTATCTGTGCTCCCAAGAGTCAAGGGACCCTGTGCTCTAAACCACTGGACCATCTTTCTCTGGTCTCTGCCTGGTGAACCCAAGCAATATAATCTACAGTTTCCATGCTCAGCTTTGTGTTCTCTGAATCCGCCCATGTCACAGGAAATGCACCTGGCTGGTACCCTGAATACCAGCGTAGTCTCTGGCCTACAGCATTGTCCCTGTCTCTCTTGCTTCCTGCCTTCTGATCGAGTGCTTATGTCCTCAGTGTGTCCTATCCTTCCCTGCCCCTTAGTCCTGCTATGAAATATTCTGCTCTCTTACCTCTGGGATCTGTGAACAATAAACTTCACCTTTCACATATCCTATCCACATCACTCACTTGCTACGGAACCTAACTCAAGTATCAACACACTGATATTTTCTTTTCTCCATGTCATTAATATAAATACTCATGATGACCCAAACTCTGCAGAGGCTGAAACATCACTAGCCAGATGCGGAGCTCCGCCACTCTTAATGCCAAGTTTGTAATGAGCAGTTATGAAAAGTGCCTCATGAGCTCACTGCCTAGCACTTTATCCCAGTTCTCCCCATCAGAAAAGAGAGTGGTACAAAATTCTGTTATCAGTGGTTTTATTCCAACTTGTTCATGACCTAGACACTTGCTCGTAAATCCTTTCTGGTAAGGATATTAATCAAGTATTAACCTATAACTACATATTAGGAGGCCAGTGGTATTTTTCTTGTTTTCGTGGAGCCATGCACGAAATAACACTGTTACTTTTTACTATTTTTATTTTTTTCATTGAGTTTATTGGTACATTTTAGGTGTACAGTACAGTTACATTCATCATTGGGATCTTGTACCTTTACATGACAGGTCTTGGTTCTCATTTTTCCCCTTGTCCCTGCCCTCCCTTTACCCCTCCTCCCTTCCGTATTTACAGACAATTTATTTCCATTTTCTCATTTTTTTTTCTTTTCCATTATTACCTTTCCCCTACCTTTCCCACTTTCCCTACACCTTTAGCCCTTTTCTTCCTGTTTCACATTGTCAATTAGGTTTTATAATTATAACTATTGCTAAAACTAATGGAAACTCATGTCTGCATTGTTTGTATATTTTCTCAGTTTTTCCATGAATTTAATGTTAAAAGTCTTTCATTCATCTAGCCTTACATGCACACACACACACACACACACACACACACACAAATGGTAAATGTATGGTGTGTGCGTATATGTATATATTGTACACATACCTACAAATGCAACAGTATACATTGTTCCTGAGTGACCATAATTTAGTGTAGGATAAAAGCTAAAATAATAATGACCATCATGATAAACAGTCTTTAGCAACAGTAGCATTATGATAGAACTTAATGGCATCTCTGAAAAATAGTATGTACAGTTTTCATTCTTCATTAGAGAAAACAGTCTAGAATACACTTTGAAGAAATGTTGAGACGTAGAACTATTCAAAAGAGAGAGGCACATTGTCCTACCTTGTATAATTAGTACTCATAGGCTCTGATGGTAACCTACCTACCTGCCTATTAATTGTAAGAACATTGGAATAACTTTTTAAGCAACTTGGATTTTCCTTTATTGTTCGCTGCAGATCTCCAGACTCACCTGTAACATAAGAGGTGGGAGGAATCTTGTTTGACCCTAAAATCTGTCTTTTCCTTGTCTTCTTCAGGTAGTGCTGGTACCCCTGTGATGTTCAACAAGAACGGGGACGCACCTGGGCGCTATGACATCTTCCAGTACCAGACGACAAACACCACCAACCCCGGTTATCGTCTGATTGGGCAGTGGACAGATGAGCTTCAACTCAACGTGAGTTCTACATGTTCTTCTTCTCTCACTTGATGAATAGGGTCAATTTTAACTTCCTCGGTCAGACAAATGTTTTTTTGTGTATCTATATGTGAATATGCAACTTGATATGGGTCTCTTGCAAGATTTTTATAACATGTTTATAAGACTTCTCTATGAGTCTGTTTTACTTCTCCTTTCCTTTATTCCTTCATTCTGTCTTTTGTGATGATATGACTTTTTTTGTTCTTGTAATGATTTTTGAGAGTCCTTCTGGCTTATACTGAGATGTGAATAACTACAGTGTTAATCCTTTCCATAACCTCTCCCTTTTCCCATAATGTGTGAGCTTGAGTAAGAGGCCACTTCTTTGCATAAGATTATGTCCACCTCTCCCCAGTTGAAGACACCCATACAGAGAGAGAGAGAGAAAGAGAGAGAGAGAAAGACAAAATTTTCTCTTATTCAGTCTGTCTGTCCTATCCAATCCAATGGGTTGAATGAGAATCCTGTACATCAGGGAAGGCTCTCACTCTGCTCAATCCACTGATTCAAATCATAACCTTATCCAGAAACTTCCTTACATCTAGATCGACACCCTGTGGCTTAGTCAAGTAGGCACAAAATTAACCATCATAGTCATTATATCAGAAAATTATTTTGCTGTCTCTTCCAAATCTAGCAGTTATGTCATTAGCCTTGATCAATCTGTCTGTTAGTAAGTGCTGTAGACACTGAAGCAAGTCTTGTTGGCAGTGGTAAACAGAATCCGTGTCTAGCAGTGGGTTAGGGGTGGGAATATGTTTCCACAGTTACCTGGTGTGCATCTCATCCCAGACTGGGTTTTGCTTACACCTACCGGTTCTCCCTCTCCTGAGAGATCCTCCAGCCACATGAACTGACATTGATTCTAACAGTTTGTGATCTGGCTGCCAAGAGTTTGTAAAGCCCAGTAGCCAGTGACACCCATGGCCAAGAAGAATGTGAAAGGCCAAAGCTAAAGAAACAGTTGCAGCTAGCATGAATCTGAGGCACACTAAACTTGTAGACAGAAGGAAAATGTACAAGTACAACTTCTGCAAATTGAGCCCAGTTTACAATATTACATTCCGTTTTCCTAAGAGTTGGGCCAACCATATACAATGGATTTTTGTTTAAATTTATGGAAGCCAGACCAGAGAAGTATATTTGATTTGAAATTAAGTAGATATTTTGATTTTACTTTGTAGTGTGAGAGCAATGTTAGAAGAGCAGACAGGTTGCCTGAGACCTCAGGCAAATGCAGTCATTTGTGCCTGGTGTTGGATACAAATCAGAGGAATGAATGAGCCATTTAACAGGACTATTTTTTAGAGGGGTGAGAGATTGGGTTAATTCAACTACTATAGCCCTGAGGTGATTGCTTTTTATTTGTTTTTTACATTGTCTTTTCTCAGTACTGGGCATATCGCCCAGGGCCTTTGCAGTAAACTGGAGCCTCAACCTTTTTAGTCCCCACCCCCCTTGGGGTTGGTTGGTTGGTTTATTTGTTTTGACACAGAGTCTCTTGAAGTGGCCTGAACTGGGCTTCAGCTTGTGATCCTCAGGCCTCAGCCTCCCAGAATGCTAGGACTGCAAGCCTGGGCCACCACAGCCAGCAACATAACTGGTCTTGATAGAAAGTCACTGGCAGACATTGTTGTATTAATTTTGAATCATGTGAATTGGAGCCTAAGTATATTGCTCAGAAAGCAGTTCACCTCTCACCCGGAGACTCAGGTACCAGGTCCTGGGACCTTATCCAGTGATGAGTATGCTGTCCAACACCATTCTAACCATGTTCTCTTTGCTTTAATTATGGTGATTCAGTTGAAAAACGTGTGAGAGTGAGATTTGGGCAAACATTGCCTTTTCAGTTTGCTTTCTTCTCATTAATAGAACAAAAGAAAGCATTTCAAATAACGAACATCCTTCTCATTTACAACGGCTCAGGGGTACTCTTCCAATCCCCAGTCACATTTCTAGCAAATGAAATTTTCAGTAGAGCTTTCTCTGAGCTCAATAATTGCAAATGTATTTCTGAGCCAAGAAAGTTTTAGGTTCTCAGAATCCCAGTGCTGTTACCAGACAAAATACTCTGGAATTGAGGTGCCTAGCAGTGCGCAGTTATTTTGAAGCCTCTCTGCACCCTTCCTGCCAGCGCAGTAGCTCTGAGCGCTGGATCCTCTGTGATTGCGTGCGTAGCTTTCTTCATAATATAAATTGGAAATCAGAAGAAAAGGATTAGACCTAGCAAAGCTATTTGCTTTCCCAATTGAAGCTCCTACAGAAATAAGGCTGACTTAATCTCTCAAGTTTCATCTTGCTATGAAAAGATTTCACAGAATACTCTTCCAGGAGGAGGGCAGAAGGGGCAAAGGAACAAATCTGCATAGATTATCTGCAGTATCAGGCAGGATGGTAGCCTGTGGAGACCGGGGACAAACAAGGGACAGGTGCTTGCCTTCTCAGTCTATGGGCTGCTATAAGGGACCTCTATGAGATGTTCAGTTATAAGACTGTAAATAGGCATTGTCTGAAAAAAACAGCTAACTTACATTTCAGCTGTATTTTGGAGGATAAGTAGTAGTTCCCTAGAAAAAGAGAAGAAAAAGTGCTTTAGAAGAAATAATGCAATACTGTTTTAATACAGCATGCAGATAGGTCAGAGAAAAAGGAAGGGCATTGGTTATAGATGCTTTAAAAATTTTTACATGTGCAGTGCAGTGTGCACACTGCTAATGCTATGTATGATAGACACAAAGGTGATTTTTTGGATATCATTTTAAATTCATCTGAATTACAAAATTCAGATATTCCCAAATGCTAATTATCCAAACAAATGAAATTCTCTAAAGTAGCAAAATGTAAATTGACCTTTTTTTATTTTTCCTAACAGAAGCTATCTTTAATGGGAAGCATGCTACAGAGGAGGGCATATTTTCTTAATTAGAAAACTAAGTATTAGCTAACCTTTTTCTGGATTACTCAAGTTCTCCACAACCTCGGCTGTCTGTCATTGTTTGGAACAGAACATCTGTCATGCTCTCAGGTGTGCAGGGCTTGTAAGGTTTTTCTTTGGTCTTTTTAACCTTGTAGAACTTACACTTCACTTGCAGAGGCTATAAACTCAGAGAAGGCAGAATCCATGTTTTAATCATTGTGTTGTGCACCCAGTAGTGCAGTACATATTTATGGGGATTTTTAAAACTCGATATACAGAAGCATGTGTAATGAATATGCAGTCTTTGTAGTGATGGACATTATTTGCAGTCATCAGCCACTCTTCCTACCTCTGGGAACAGATTACCTGGGTATTATTACCCATTTTGTGTGCTCCAGCTAGTTCCCAAGTCCAGAGTTATTAAAGCAGATCTGTTGAAATCAATTATGGTGGCCACAGAGATGAGATTGGCACTCAGACTAACCCTGTATGATCAAGAGTACGTCTCTGAGAGCCATGGGGAACCATTTTGAGGCCAAAGAGTAGGAGTCACAGGGAAGAGAAATCAAAACTTGGAATGTGAAACTAGGTCTTAGTCAGCCTTCCCTAAAACTCATTTCTAATGCTTTAGGGGTGGTTTAGTCAACAATGAAACTGTTTAGGTAAAGTACTCCTCACTTCCAAGTGTGTTTACCTTAGTAATCAAAAATGTTTTTAATTGGCTTTTGGCCCAGGGATTTAGCTCAGCGGTTCTGCCACCTGCCTCATAAGTACAAGGTTCCAAGTTCGATACTTGGTACCAAAAAAAAAAATTTTTTTTAAATGGAGTTTGTTTAATTAATAACCCCAGGATGGAAAAATATCTATATTCAGCTTCCCCTTTATGGGAAGAATTTTTTTTAATGTTTAAAAATTTAAACTTTAAACTTTAAAATTAACTTTAACTTTAAAAAGGCGATTAAAAATTAACTTTAAAAGTTGTGATTTTGTTAAATATGGAATATTTCACATTGGTTACAGTTTTACCTATCAGAGACATTTTAAAGACATAAGAACAGTTGATTGCTGAAATCACTGCTTAACAGAATTATATATCCCAAAATCAGTACTTATACCTACCTGTAAAACTACTAATCACTCCATTGTTTTGTAATTAATCTAATCATGCACATGATTTTAAATGTAATACATAAAATACGGGCTAATAGCCATAGTCATAGCAATGTTGGCAAAAAGAAAATAAGTGTCAAAATCTAGTACTTCTTCAGCTCCCATTTGAAGGCATTTTTATGGAATCCCCTTCTTGTCTGTCACAACTAATTGTACTTTTCTTATAATTTATAACTTCAGTGTTAGTAATTATGTCTGCAGGCTTTAAAGACAAAATAATTGAATGGATCTGGTCTCATTTCTAGTTTTACTGGATAAGCCAGGATGACAATAGTATCTTTTTTTAGTTATTATTTGAATTAAATGTAATATACATAACATATGTAAAACAGTGCCTTGCACATAGTAAATGTTCAACGATTGTCAGACACAACTTCAACAATAACAATAATTGGCATCCTTAGTTTAACTTATGATTTGTACCTGCTCCAAGCACCAGTTTACCAGTTTTTAATGCTGGTAAAGTTGTTTTTCTTTATACTCTAGCAATTAGCATAATTCTTAGCTTATAGAAATAGCTTGTTAAGTATCAAACAGATGGGTAGATAAACAAAAATGCAAACAATTGAATCAAATAAATTAATAAAGGACTGCCATTTTTTTGCTTAGCTTGCCAGTGTCTGCTGGGTGAATGGACAAGAAGATTCTTTCAGAATTTGACCCCAGTCAGTAATTCTGTATGTCTCTATTTTATCATATAAAACTTGGTTTACCAAAAAGAACTTTTATTAATGATTTTTATGCTTGCAAAAATTTTAAAGATAGGTTATTTTTGGTCTTTGAATGATAAGGCAGAAGAAAAGGAGGAAAAGGGATAAAACAATTGGTTTTATTTTTTTCTAATTGATTTTTATTTTTAGAACCCTTTTAGTAGCCATTTGAGACTATG